ATAGAGGTCCATATAGGTAGATGAAATAATCTCTCTTCTTAAACACACCATTGGCAGTGATAAAAAAATCTTTAAAATAAAAAGTTTTTCAAGATGTATAGACATCTTGGCATGGATTTGTATTGGTTAAGTCAAAATCCACTCTCAAAAAGCAGTTTCCAAAAGTCAACATAATTACATATATTAGTGATCTGTAGAGACAATACTGAGTCTATTTTATACTATCAATTCATAATTTCCAAATTTATAGGTTTTCAGAAAGTTTGTTTTCCAGAAAACAATACACGTAGAATTTGATAGTATGCCTGGCAAATTAATTTCCAGGGTGATTTCATAAAGGTGAAGAAAATAACATCTTCATTTTAAGATAACAGAACTTCAGGTTATTTTCCATCAATTTGTTATTTAGGAAATGTCGTATTACAATTCCAATGTCGTATTACGTTTCTCACTCCACAAAGTCTGACTACTTAAATCGAAGAAATAACCTCAACCAATTTAAATATTAATACAAATCGGTGCTGCTATCTTAAGCACCAGGATCCTTAGTTATGAAGCATTAATTCATTGCACATTTAAACTCATGCTGAGTAGAAAAGAGCATGTGAACATCATTTAAGAGCAACGATCTTTGAAATACATACCTTCTCTTGCTAAATATGAACTGAAAATTGAAACGAAAAGGTAAGGCTCCAGTTATCTCCTACAGTTTGCTGACACAAGTATGACAACAGTAAGAAGAATGATCGATCTCCAGAGATCTGTATCACCTCAGTGATGCTGATATACACAAAACTCCAATAACTCTTTTATAAGTTAAAAACAAGTTATCATGAATATAATAATTGTAAGTAATTCACACTCCAGCTTTTGCATGTTCTCAGAAATTTTGCATTCGGGGAAGGTTTAACAGCATTCTGAGCAATCTCAAACATGTTGTTACCATGTCTCAGTGGTTTAGGTTTAAAAAAAAAAATTATTCCTAATAGAAAAAATATATTCTAGTGAATTATCGGTCTTCCAAAACTGTTATCTGTAAATACAAGGTAAAAAAGCCAGCCATATGCAGAGTAGTCCATGTTTTGACACGTTAGAGATATATGATAAAATATCTTTTTACTTAAAAAATCTAATTCACATATCCCAACTCACAAGACAGTCTTGGTATTACAGAGCTACAGAATATTCCGACATCAATCTCTACAGGTTCCCTAACCTGATGTATTGCCTGGGCAAGCGAAAAGAGAGAACTGAAAACCTTTTGCTTATGGCATTTACTCTGACGGTGGAGATCTATTTCCAGTTTCTTATACATTGAATAATTAAGTTCTAGATAACTGATGCCAATAACTATCGTGAATATTAAACCAGTTTATTATTCTTACATGCTTTTTTAGTCAGTTGTTTCAAAGGAATAGACAGACACCCTTTATCTGCTTGGTTATTGTGTAGACTGAAAAGAGTAACACTGTCATTTCTATATATACATACATATATTTATAAATATGAATTCATCAAGTCAGTGACTCATGTCAAATATCTTAACTTTCAAGTCAAAGAATAATCCAAAGACCTTCAATAGCTGGGCCCCCATAGGTGACATATGACATATTAAGAGACGTATTATGGAGAAGATCATCTTGAGTGTCATCATGCAGCACGA